GAAACCCGTTTCCTTTACTGTCTTACTAAGGAAATAAACCTGTTTCATGTGCTTTCTTACTAAGGAAAGAAACCCGTTTCCTTTACTGTCTTACTAAGGAAAGAAACTTGTTTCATGTGCTTTCTTACTAAGGAAAGAAACCTGTTTCATGTGCTTTCTTACTAAGGAAAGAAACCTGTTTCCTTTACTGTCTTACTAAGGAAAGAAACTTGTTTCATGTGCTTTCTTACTAAGGAAAGAAACTTGTTTCATGTGCTTTCTTACTAAGGAAAGAAACTTGTTTCATGTGCTTTCTTACTAAGGAAAGAAACCCGTTTCCTTTACTGTCTTACTAAGGAAAGAAACCTGTATCCTGTGTTGGAGAGTACTAGTTGGTTTCATTATCTTGACACCTGTTAAACTGACTTCACCAATACACCGTATGACTACTCTGCGCCTCTACATTCTTAACACAGGTGATGCGAGCGTTTCTCAGATCCAACAGTACATTGTTGTATGTATATATATATATATACCATTACTGTAATATTTCACCTACATCGTATAACCACTCTATGCCTCTACACACAGGTGTTGTGAAGATTCCGGCTAAAGTTCTGTGCCTGTCCAAGTTAATAAAAGTTTGTTTTATTGTGTAATTTTCCTAACACAAAACGGATAGCACTTTTATTAAAGGTCTGTACAAACTAGCTTCAGCTGCAATAGGGATCCTTTTAAGATCTTCTAAGAAAGTTTCCTATGCAACTTTCTCAGAAACATCAAGAAAACTGTCAGATTCCAACTTTGGACGAATGATAACGTAATTTTACTGTAGTGTTCCTGATCTACAAAAATCGGTCTTTACCACAGTGTATTTATAATTGGTGCATATAAAAGCAACGAAGTATTAGTGGCAAATTAGGCATTATAAAAACAGATTAAACCAATTTGGTACAAAACAAAACTAACCTATAAACCTACACCGATCTTATTATCGTTAAATGGGTGGAAACTAGGCCGAGAAACATGGTCATCCGAAGCATTGTGGGAATCTCTCGAGGTACTTTCTTGTAGTTTCATCTTTTTGGGTAACCAGAGAATTAAAATAAGCTTTTAAATTGTTCAATTGCTTTATTAGGCTTCCACCTATGGCTTTAAGACATAAAAAATTAATTACTGTATATTTGACCGAGTGTTAAGTATCTCACATCGTTATATTGAACATGTGGATTGCGTGAATTTACCGTTAGATAAGAATTAGCAAGGACACCGTTGGTGGTTCACCGACATGAAAATAATTACTCTTAACTAGATTTCATCGGCAAAAATCACCAAAGTCTAAAATGAATTTCAAGAATGTTACCTTTTCATCTTCTTCTGTTCTTGAAAAGCTTTTTGTTTTTACTATTGCTAAAAATCATCAATCAGCCAGGGATGATAATGGGCCAAAAAATAAAGACACTGAAACAATGTATGTACTTGCGGGAAACTAAAACACTGGTAGTCTTGCAGACCACATGGGACCCCAGAAATTGGACAAGGACAAAAAGACTGCAGAGTATTTTATGTGCATGTGAAAACATTTGACAAGTGTAACCCATAAAGAGGAACGACTCACCATACTTGATGTCAGACCTGAACTAAACCAAACAGATTACGTGAGAAATCTTTATTTCGTGGTGTATAAACTCAACTGGGTTTTTTTTTCAATAAACTTATAAAAGGAAAAGAAAAATGAAAGAAGGCATTTCTTCTTACTTTGTTATTAGAAAAGCACCCATTATTTGATTAAAACTTATTGTCAGTTTATTACTGACACGTTCTCCTTAATGGATCTGCTTCAATCACAAACTTTTCCAACAAAAAAAAACAACAACTTGCAAATTCACAATTCAACACAAACATAAAAAATCCACATTTCTAGATAAAACAAAATTACATGTATATATTTTTTTGGAGCTGGATGTACGACATATGAAAGATTAAACGTGTATAACACTTAAATTGTGAAAACTTGCCATTCCTTTTGCTTTAAAAACTCAAATTCCTCTCAAACTTCAAAGCAAAACAGACTTCACCTTTGGGAAAATAACAATTTACAAAAAATCAACAAAAAAAGACAGTTTTTATGCTGATTATAAACTCACAAATTAAAACTGGGTTAAACATAATTATTAGAAGCACACAAGGTCTCTAGATTTTTAAAATTTTAAAATATTAAATGCAAGGTTTAGGACCAGACTAGTAAAGCCTATAACAAAAGCTATTATTGCACAGAATACTTCGATCTTAACAGGGTGGCATCGATACTGATGTGGCAAGCACGAGATGGAGACACCCAATACATGTATATTAAAATTTAAAACATGATGGTGTAACACCTTGTACTTTGATAAATTTTGCTGTTGTTTTTGTTTCTTAGGATGTATAGCTGATTTCACACGGAGACCTAGCTTAAAATAAGTAAAGATTTAAATTTGTTTATATACAAAGATGCTATTTTATTTTAATCTGAACTAAATGTTTCTTTGATCTAGTTTTCAACAGGCCAGACAAAATAAAACTGACCACATTGGTCACTTATGGCTTCTAATGGCAACACACACACACTAGCACCTAATGTGAGACCAGTAAGAACCAATCTCACCTCACAAGTTATTGGGCTTCTCAGTTAAAGGATGTAATTTTCCTACGAGTATTATTATTATTATTATTATTATTATATTACTATTAATTAGAGTTGTTGGAATTATTAATATCAATGGTTGTTGGACTCCACAGCTATTCATCTACAGTTGGTTAAAAACACAGATAAGAATGTAGCAACAGAAGCATCAAGAAATCTCAAACATGTAGACTGAAAAGAAATATAAAAAAACTGGATTAAAACACATTTTTCAAACCTGTTATCAATACTCTAGGAGTGTCCCCTTCTTCTCTAACGACGGGGTCTGTTGTCATCCCGTTGAAGAAACGCGCGCCAACCATTCTGGGGAAGAAACATTGTGCTGCCATTCCAGATTTCCATGTCCAAACGTTTTCTTTCAAATGTCTGGATATTTTCATGCTAACCCTTGGTCCATAATAAAACTGAGAGAGATTGTGACAGACAGCAGACATGGTTGGTTCTACAGTGTTTCCTTCTGCTATTAAAGATAATAAAAAAAACAGCATACATTGAGCTAGATATGAGAAGAAAAAAATAAAAGTGAGAGAGAGATTTATCTATAAAACCTGAATTTGACAAAGGTTAGAACAAGAAATAATAAAAGAAGGATTCTCAGGCCTAATTCTACTAACCTGGCTGACTAAAGTATAACTTTCACCATAGCATGACAGTCCATACTTGGACATAGGCCTAAACACATGCAACATTTACTACAGTGTTAATTAAATTATTTAATAAATCTACTTGTATGTTTCGTCTTTTATAATTTAATGTCTATTATTTTATCATAATGATTATTCTGTATTGTTGACTGTATACAAGTTTAGGGCTAACATAAATCTCCTGCATTTATCAAACATCAGGATATATTATTAGGTTTATGGCTGAAAATATGGTTAACAACAAGGGCACCCAACAAATGAAACAATGCATTCAAATGTTTATAAGTAATATCATTATATTTAATTAGCTATGCTCATGTTTAGTTCTGACCCACGCATGTAGCCTGCTTTGAAGTTAGTTTCAACACGTAGTCCTTCACATAGTCAAAATAATTTACGCATGTAACAGCACACATTTCATCATCACACAAGCTATTTCACAAAACAATAAATAATGTGATGAACCTGCCATGTTATTTATCTTAAAATACATACGAGTTGAAAAAGAATCCCAAATCAAATAGATGGTCAATATTCAATTTTATCATATCATGTTACTACAATAATTACAAATACATCTAACAGAATTAATTAGATTAGCAATAACAACATGAAACTTTGAAGATTTACACTTCTGAGTAAACTACTATCAAAATCTTGTTTCCTACTTATAATTTAATAAGTTGTTAACGAAATGTTTCATTAACTATTAAACAAGTTATAAGATTTCTACCTTTGAAATTAAGTTAAAATCGGGTATAAAACTTGTAAAAATAAAAAAGGCTCATTGTTAAGATATTCCATATGGAACTTTGAAGCTAATCTGCCAAAACGTAATCAAAACTTCTAATTCTGTGCATACAGACAAAACATTTAAAAATAATTAATAACGGGTTTTACTTTATTTAATAGGAAGTATTAAATATTACTAATGACATTCAAAAAGCACAGCCTTAGGCGGTTTTGATCTTGAACCAAAAATTTGAATTACTAAATACCGTAAGTAGTACACGTTTTACTTTTAGGTCAACTGATATCCAGCAGGCTTATCATGAATGATGTAGGAATACGTACGCTACGTGACATGGGTGAGCTTGCCATAAGATTCGTGGAAAGCTTTCGTTTACTGAATTAGGCTTACACTGCAAGGTAACTATTTGATTAGTAATAGTATATAAAAAAATGCCCATTTTGTTTTTAAATTTACTTTTAATCCAAATAAAACGTTACATCTTATTAATAATACGATTTTAGTTAATATTTTACGTACCTTATTAATAAAACAAAACCAAAATCTTCACCAAATGTTATCGCCTTACCTACCTCTACCGAACACGTTCGTTACTCACTAAGAATTGCCGACTACTTGAAATCTTATCGTAAGTTGCATCATGCAGCGCTACACGTGTAATTTGCCTCTGAAAACTAACCAATCAGAACACGACTTGCTGGAGGTGTGGTGAGCTTTACTTGCTACCACCAGGGATAAAAAACAAAGCAAAAAAAAAAAAAAACATTTGCGTTCAGTTTTCAATTTATATATATAAACAATAAATTAAAGAAGCAACTATAAATAAAACTATCTGCTTAAAATTTCCGTTAGTTTATAGTCGAACAGTGTTCGTGTCCAAGAATGTAGTCATTATGGTTGCTTAATGTTTAATATACAAAAAAAAATGTTAAAAACGTTATCACATTTCACGAGTTATTTATTAATTTTTGTATTATTCGTGTTATATGGGATGTAAGCTGAAGATATTAAAAAAAATCAAATTGCTACATAAAGAAAATGATTACTTGCTCAACATTTTTACACCGTTTAACCATAAAACGTTGATTTTAACCATTTGTTTGCAGTTTGAATTACAATCACACTATAGCTGTGTTTGTTTATTGTACACAATATAACAAAAGATATTAATTTTGTCAAAAGCTAAAAAGGCTTATGAATTTGTTACTATCTTAATCCTCCATATAGCACTTCATTTTCTTCTAAACATAAATAGACAGACATGGCGAAGTCACTATTAATAACCACTAATGAGAGAAAAGAAACCAATGCATACTCAGAAAGTGTACTACGTAGTAACACAAAAACTACTGAAGAAAATAGATTAGTGTGGTAATGAAGTATCATTAAGCTAAAAATAGTTCCTAAAAATAGTTAATTAAAAATAATTCTTAAATATAGTTAGTAAATATAGTTAATTAAAACAATTATTACAAATAGTTCTTAAAAATATTTAATTAAAACAATTATTACAAATAGTTCTTAAAAATATTTAATTAAAAATAGTTATTAAATAAAGTTAATGAAAAATATTTAATTAAAAATAGTATTAAATAAAGTTAATGAAAAATATTTAATTAAAAACAGTTAATTTAAACAGTTATTAAAAATAGTTAATTAAAATAGTTATTAAATATATTTATTAAATATAGTTATTAAATATAGTTAATTGAAAATAGTTAATTAAAATAGTTATTAAAAATAGTTAATTAAAATAGTTATTAAATATAGTTAATTAAAAATAGTTATAATCATACACAGATTCGCGTTTAAAAATACATCGACTTAATTACAAATTATAAAACACATTAAATAATAATGAGGTAAAATGCCACAAGATAGTGCTGCTTAACTGTTATTAATTTGTTTTTATTTTTGGCACAAAGCTCATTAAAGGGCAATTTGCACACTTTTCACCACAGTGAATCGATCCCCGGGTTGCAGCGTTGTAAGAACTTACCGCTAACCTACTGAGGTGTTGTTATGAAACGCTTTATATGGTAACCAGAAATTAAAATGATAAACACTTCAGCCCCCAAATTGTGTATATTTAAAAGGACGGCTATAAGGTACTTTCAAGATACAGAATCAAGTTGAGATTTCGTTTTAGTAAAACAGTTAATTTATTGGTATTCGTGACAAAGCTACTATACTTATGACTCGCCATCTCTGAGTTTGAACTAGTTATCAGAGGGGAGACAGCTACTCGGGAAAACCCCACATAGAATCGTACCGGTCTCGCCAGTACCGAGAGGGGCAGCATGGGCTGATGGTTAGGGTGTTCGATTCACAATATGTGGGCACCAGGTCAAAACCCATCGCCTTTTCTGCTGTAGAGACGTTATAATTTGACGGTCAATTCCATTGTTTCTTGGTAAAGAGTAACTCAAGAATAGTTGATGTTGATTAAATGCCTTCCCTCTAGTTTCACAACTTTAAAATTAGGGATGGGGAGAAGGCAGATAGCCCTCGAGTAGTTTTCGCGCGAAAATTCAACAAATAAACTCTACAGATCTCAAGACGACCAGCTAAAAGTCACATTCTTTCTGTATTACTTGATTAAAAAAATTATATAATTTATAAACCTGACACTAGATGATGCCACTCTCGCGCAAAACACCAATAATACAGTTTGTTGTCAGATGTAAAGCTACACAAAGGACTATCTGTGTTATGCCAACTGCAGGTATCGAAACCCTATTATTAGCGTTATAAGCCCATAGACTTACCGTGAAGCCACCAGAAGCATCAGTAATAGACCCCATTAAACGAAACTAATCTATATAAATATAATAGTACTGTCTGTTGTATGTCCATGTAACTACTTCGCACAGTATGGATGGATCTTCACCATATTTCGTATGGAGGTTCATTGGGTCCACTTGCAGTTTTACGTTTTGTGTTTTACAGTTTTTATGGGCGTTCTTGTATTTTTTACAGTTACATATATAAGGGAAGCAGCTTTTCGTGTCCTAAGATAACCTTTAATTAATCATGAATTTCCATAGCTTGTACCCTAGCTATTTAATAATCAAATAAATTATAAATCAAATATAAATGTTTGTATAATATGTGTGTCTTTATAAATCACGTTAATTGACATACTCATCAAATCATAAGTGTAACGCGTAGAGGTCGTGAAAGTTCTTTGATACGACAGATATCTTTTACAGATAGTTCGTCAGCTTTACATTTGTTTACCTGTAATAAAGAGTGTGTGAACCGTTTGATTCCCTGTTCATTCCCTGGATCAAATTAGTGATCAGTGTTTGCTAAAGCAGACATTTGTCAAAGTACGTGAACGGCAAGTACGAATAGTTATGTTCGACAATACATGTCTTATGTTCGAAAATACATGCCTTATGTTCGACAGTACTTATTTATTTTCGACAATACATATTTTATGTTCGAAAATGCATGTCTTATGTTCGACAATACATATTTTATGTTCGACAATACATGTCTGATATTCGGTAATATATATTTTGTTCGACAATGCATGCCTTATGTTCGACAATATATGTCTTATGTTCAACAGTACATATTTATTTTCGACAATACATATTTTATGTTCGACAATGCATGTCTTATGTTCGACAATACATATTTTATGTTCGACAATACATGTCTAATATTCGGTAATATATATTTTATGTTCGACAATGCATGTCTTATGTTCGACAATACATATTTTATGTTCGAAAATGCGTCTTATGTTCGACAATACATATTTTATGTTCGACAATGCATGTCTTATGCTCGACAATACATATTTTATGTTCGACAATACATGTCTAATATTCGGTAATATATATTTTATGTTCGACAATGCATGTCTTATGTTCGACAATACATATTTTATGTTCGAAAATGCATGTCTTATGTTCGACAATACATATTTTATGTTCGACAATACATATCTAATATTCGATAATATATATTTTATGTTCGACAATGCATGTCTTATGTTCGTGTATTGTCGAACATAAAATATGTATTGTCGAACATAAGACATGCATTGTCGAACATAAAATATGTATTGTTCCCTTCAGTACTTTTCTAAGCAGTCTTGTGTATGTGCTCTGACTCTAAAGTTCCAGAACATCAAAACGAATATTACAAATTAAGGCCTAATGACAGATATTAGTGAGCTGTGTGAGCATAGAGAACACGATATGTTCCTTGAAAATAAAAATCGCTATCAGAGTAACGCTTTACGAATTTTTCAAGGACATCTTCCTAAATGTGTCATATCTCGAAAAATAAAGATTACGTCACTTTTTTTTATGTTTTAATACGAAGTAGGTATTTCAATATTTGATAATTATTCAGCCAAACAAGCCGTTTAAAATAGTACAAAATAAATGTGCAGCTTCATCTATCGTTCCAAAGTTACATCGGTTTCTGGGAATTCTACCCTTCATCAGCAACCAATTACAATCTGAAGTGATTCTTCTACAGAAATGGAACCAGAAGTATAATAATTAATGTTACGTGAAATGATCTAAAGCCACCACGTGCACTCGTACACGTACACGCGCAAGTATATTGTACTTTGTTAAAAAATAAATAAAATCATGTTTCGCTACAATGAACACGCTCAAGAAAACTACATCCTGTATCGTTACCTTCGTTTTTTTTTTGGGGAGGGGATCAGACAGGACTCTGTTCACCTGTATTTCAAGGATTCAATGCTGTAACAGCTCAACAAAGCTAGATCCTGTATTATTGTCTTTAAGTCTAGGATCAGACAGGACTCTGTTCACCTGTATTTCAAGGATTCAAAGCTGTAACAGCTCAACAAAAAATACAGGTGAACAGAGTCCTATCTGATCCTAGACTTAAAAACAATAATACAGGATCTAGCCCAAGGATTCAAAGCTGTAACAGCTTAACAAAACTATATCCTGTATTATTGTCTTTAAGTCTAGGATCAAATAGGACTCTGTTCACCTGTATTTCAAGGATTCAAAGCTGAAACAGCTTAACAAAGCTAGATCCTGTATTATTGTTTTTAAGTCTAGGATCAGATAGGATTTTGTTCACCTGTATTTCAAGGATTCAGAGATGTAACAGCTTAACAAAGCTAGATCCTGTATTATTGTTTTTAAGTCTAGGATCAGATAGGACTCTGTTCACCTGTATTTCAAGGATTCAAAGCTCTAACAGCTCAACAAAGCTAGATCCTGTATTATTGTTTTTAAGTCTAGGATCAGATAGGACTCTGTTCACCTGTATTTCAAGGATTCAAAGCTCTAACAGCTCAACAAAGCTAGATCCTATATTATTGTCTTTAAGTCTAGGATCAGATAGGACTCTGTTCACCTGTATTTCAAGGATTCAGAGCTGTAACAGCTCAACAAAGCTAGATCCTGTATCATTGTTTTTAAGTCTAGGATCAGATAGGACTCTGTTCACCTGCATTTCAAGGATTCAAAGCTGTAACAGCTCAACAAAGCTAGATCCTGTATCATTGTATCCGAGTTCTACATGAACTCAAAAGTTGGCTTATGTTAGCAAGTCGAGGGGACAAATAGAGTACATTAGTATGGAATCAGCTTACCTCAG